TTGCGCGCAGCGTAGGCTGCAATCTTGAGCTGGAGGAGCCGTGCCATCTCGGCGATCTCGGCGGCTACGCCACCCATGACTCTGCCACCTGGCGCCGTAGCGACGACTGTACCTTCCGTGTCGGCCGTATTGACGGCCACGACGTGGGCGAAGAGGTCGACCGTGGCGCCGACCTGCGCATGCAAGTCTCTACAAGGAGTATTGACGCATATGGATTTCAGTTGGACATACTGGAACACGTCGTTGAATGGTGGTGCTCCGTCAGCGCGCACAGCGACCTTGCTGGTCGAGGCCGCCACGCCGTGACGAAGGGTGGGAGGTCCCTCTAAACACACAAGTCTTCTACCTTGGTCCACAGGATACGTTGAAGTGTACCGAGAAGATCATCGTGGCCATGAACGAAATGACTCAGTGATGCGTTCATGAGGTCGATGCTTTCGCTGGACGACATGACCGATGCGTGGCTTGGCGTTCGAGGTGACGTGCCAGCATCATCCAGGCCTAGTCGAGTGCTGTGATGACTGACGTTCAAAGGAGGACAAGACACCGAGATCATGTCCATGCACAAAGTGACTGAGCGAGACGTTGGTGAGGTCGATGCTGCTGCTGGAGGACGTCACGGCGGCTCGTACGGATGGCGCTGGGTCGCCTGTCACCGCGGCGCATGTTTTAGGCGACAACGGATGGTGCCCGGCCACAAACGTGCTCAGGGACATGTTGACGGGGAGCTCGATGCTTGCTGCTACAGTGTCGGTCGGCTGGTACCCCGAGGTAAACTCACTCAAAGAGATGTTGCCGAGGTTCAGACTTGCGCTCGTCTCGACACTGCGGCGGTTGTAGCCTGCCGTGAAGGCACTGAAGGAGGATGTCGTTGGGTCGAGGCTCTGAGAGACCCGCGGTGACGCGGTCCTTGGTGCGTGGCCCGCGACAAATGTACTCAGCGATACGTCGCACATGTCCATGCTCGCCGAGACGGCTGTCGGCGCGGCGTCATAGCCCGTGACGTAGCGACTGAGAGACGACGTCACGTCCATGCTATCGCAGACACTTGGCTGCGCCGAGGGCCCAACGTCTTGGTGGTACCCTGTCGTGAAGACACTGAGCGACACGTCCGTCGGCGTTGTGTCGACGCTCGTCGCTGGGGTCGCGTCTCGGCGGATGTCTGGTGACGGGGCGTGATACCCGGCAGTAAACGTGCTCAAGGACACGTTACTTGGCGTTAAATCAACGCTGGCTGTCATGGGCATCGCGTCACCGTCCAGAAACCGACTCAACGACACATTGACCGGCGTGGCATCCATGCTCTGCGACGTTTCTACTGGCGGTGGCGGCGTGGGCTCGGCCTGTAGCTTGTGGCCCGCAATGAATTGGCTCAACGACACGTCTGTCGGTGTCATATCGAGGCTGATCGAGACACGAGGCACCATTGGTGGCGGCGGACTGGGGAGTGGAACCACCTTGACATCGACCGAGTGGACGTCGAGCGACT